ACTTCATCCTTCCTCTGGACATCGAACTGTTCCCCAATCCCGGATTCATCCCGAAATTCCTCTCAATGATAGCCCGGAATCACCCACCACTCAACAGGCCCAACCCTCGAGTCTTCCCTTTACCAGTTTTCGAAATCGAATCCGGATTAAAACTCCCGAATAACAAAACCCAACTCCGGGAGTTGTTAACCAAAAATTTAGCAATTCCCTTCCACGAGAAAGTTTGCCCAACTTGTCACAATGTTCCGGAGTTTGACAATTGGGTGAAAATGGAAGAGACTCAGGGTTTAAATATTTTTCATGTTGGTAAGAGAAATGGTAAGTTTTTTCACTGGGAGCCCATTTTTGTGGGTACAAATGCCGATCCATGGTACGACGAGAGACTGTCATGGGAGGGTAAAAAGGATAAAATGACCCAAGGGTACGTTTTGTGTATTCAAAATTATGATTTTATGATTTTGGATAATGCGTTTTTGGTACACAAACCAGGGATTAAAACCAGGAATAGGGATTCAGAAGAAAGGAAGAAAATTGTCAAAATGACTAAAAAAATTATCGAAGTGCGGATTTTACCACAGTTGGGACAATTATATGGGACTAGAGTTGGGTGTAATATTTAAATTTTGTATGTGGAAAAAAGATTTTTCGTTAATCAATTTATCACTAAATATTGCTATCTAAAATTGACTAATTTTTATCACCTTTAGTTTACTTATCAATGAAATTATTGTTTTATATTAGTTATTTCTTTAAAGAGGGCTATGAAATCAAAAAAACTGTCGTATTTTGTTTTCAAATATTTATTATTCACTTGTTTACATTCATATTCGGTAATTTCGGAAAGGAGCCCCGCCTATGGCCCCTCCCACACACCCCGTGACATTCTCCACCCCATCACAAGCATTAATCAAATCATTGAAAGCCCTCCCCTCCCCACAATTATTCAATCTTGGCCGTCCATTGACACAAACAAAATATCGTTGACAGTCATTGGGTGACCTAAAAAAGCGAAACTCCTCCTCTCCCAACCCAAAACTCCGCCCATCTTGCGGACACGTGAACCCTAAAAACCCCTCAGCGTCACACGTGGGCACTTGATCGGGCCAATCACACCGGTAGGTGTCACCATTAAAGGCCAAACCCTCCGGACAGTCGAAAACGAAGCCACGCCCAGCGACACAATTCTTAAATTGGCCGCAAGAGGTCGCGTCGCCCATACGGAAATAGCCGAATTGGTGGGGGCACTCGTCGGTGGCTTGAGCCGGCTCTGGATACAAAAAATTAAAAATTGATTGATTTTGGTAAAAATTTCGTTACGGGTCTGTTCGCGGCCGGTGCAGTCGACGTCGAGGGGGTACTGGCACGGGAAGGCCTGGGGGCCACTCGCCGGGTTGAAGAGGAGCCCATCGGGGCACAATTTCTCCGAGGGAAGGCCGTCCCTGCACTCGATATAGCCGTCGCAAGTCGATGTGGGGTATCGGCCGTCTTTTTCGGGACATGAGGGGCCCAAATTTCGCTGAGCCAGACCTGGAATCACGAAGTGACATTTAAGTACCATCACTTTCACGCGTGGGACACACGAATGGTACCATATGGGTGGCTATGGGCCTTGACATTATACAATGTTGCGTGATTTTAATATTTTATTTTTGGATATGAAAAAAACATTTGAAGTTACCATGAAAATTTTAATGGCCTACTTTGGAAACTCTTAATTAAGATAAAAAAAATGAAGTAATTATTAAGTAATAATAATAATGATGACAGTGATAACACTTGTAATCGTAGTAGTATATGAAAAAAAAAACAAATGCGTACCTTGTATGGCAACGACGGTAACGATGGTAACAATTCGAATCGTTTTCATGGTAACCATTTTAAAACTAAAATGAAGATCTTCTCTTGTCATCGCGATGTTCATTTGTTACTCAAGGTCTCATGCTTAATCATGAAGATGCTAAACAACTTTTATTGCATAATAAAATTTCTCGAATTTGACAGAATTCAGAACTATTATTATTATTATTATTAGTATTTGTGAGAAAAAAAATTCAAAAAAAAAATGTCTTATTGCCCAATTTGTACAAAAAAAAAAACGAAAAAATGTCATTTTTTTAATTGGTCTCGAAACAATTTCCAAAATCCAAGAGTATTTTTTGACAATTGAGTCCAAACTATGATTAAAATTTTTCAAAAATTATATGAATCGTATGTAAAATGAATAAAAAGAGCCGAATTTGGTGAAAAAATCGAGATTTTTTAATAATTTAGAAATAATAGACGATTAAATCACTGATTTGGTTGTTGGATTTGTTAAAAACCAACTTTTTGTTGTTTTCTTGGAGTTTTTTTTTAAGATATTTTTCTTACAGATGGGTGTTTTTAAAGTGAAATGACCCACAGAATCCAAATCTGCAAGAATTATTCCGCTACGACTAACGGTTTAAAAAATATGGTCAAAAGTTACATCCAAACTTGCATTTTTCAAAAATCAACGGTTTTTTGATTTTTAATTTTTCAAAAACTTTAAGATTTTTTTTAAAACTGAAAATTGAATGCTAAATGGCATAAAAATCACAAATTTTCGAAAAAAAAGCAAGAATTTTCAATAATTTAGAAGCCAAATGCAAATAAAGCACTTGATCTAGTGTGTTGGTTTTGGTCAAGGCAAACTTTCTTAATTTTCTTCAGACCTGTTGGAGTTATTTTAATACAATTGGGTGTTTTTGATGCAAAATGACCTGCAGAATCCAAATTTTCAAGAATTATTCCGCTCCGACTAACGGTTTGGAAAATATAGCTAAAAGTTAGATCCTAACGTTGCACTTTTCATAAATCAACGGTTTTTTGACTTTTTCTTAAAATGTGTTAAATTCATTTCAAGAAAATTAGGTGTTTCTAATGTAGAATGACCTGCAGAATCCAAATCTGCAAGAATCAGGTAGCTACGACCAACCGTTCACAAAATATCGAGAAAAGTTTGTGCATTTTACAAAAAACAACGGTTTTTTGACCCTTTCCTTTTTAAAAAAGTGGTAGAATTTTTGTAAAATAAGCGAAATGGATGTAAAATGACATAAGAAAACCAAATTTGTAAAAAACAAGCAAGATTTCTCAAAACTATAAGAGCCAAAGTCAAATAAAGCATTTGGTCTAGTATGTTAGATTTAGTGAAGGCAAACTTTCTTCATTTTCTTCAAACCTGTTGGAGATATTTCGACAAGATTGGGTGTTTCTGACGCAAAATGACCTGCAGAATCCAAATCTGCAAAGATCAATTCGCTACGACTAACGGTTCAAAAAATATCGTGAAAAGTTCGATCCTGATGTGCATTTTACACAAAACGATTTTTTGACCTTTTCCCTTTTAAATTATTTTTTAATTTTTTGAAAAATAAGCAAATTAGATGTAAAATGACACGAGAAAACCAAATTTGTAAAAAACAAACAAGATTTCTCAAAAATGTAGAAGCCAAAGGCAAATAAAGCATTTGTTCTAGTGTCAGTCTCAGTCAAAGCAAACTTTTTTCATTTTCTTCTTTCTCTTGGGAGTCATTTTGACAAAATTAGATGTTTTTAATGTAAAACGACCTGCAAAATCTAAATCTGAAAGAATCATCCCGCTACGACAAACTGTTTGGAAAATATCGTCAAAAAACCAATCTTAGCGAGCACTTTCCACAAATCAACGATTTTTTGACATTTTCTTCTAATATGTTAGAGTTATTTCAACAAAATTATCTGTTTCTAACGTAAAATGACCTGCAGAATGCAAATCTGGAAGAATTATCGAGCTACGACTAACTGTTTCGAAAATATCGTCAAAAAATCAATCCTAACGAGCACTTTCCTTAAATAAACGGTTTTTTGACATTTTCTCCCAAAATGTTAGAGTCATTTCGACAAAATTGGGTGTTTCTGGCGTAAAAAGACCTGCAGAATCCAAATCTACAAATATAAATTCGCTACGACTAACGGTTTAAAAAATATCGTAAAAAGTTCGATTCTGATGTGCATTTTACACAAATCAGCGATTTTTTGACTTTTTCTTCCAATTTGTTAGAGTTATTTAAACAAACTTAGATGTTTCTAACGTGTAATGACCCAATAAATCCAAATCTGCAAGAATTATGCCGCTACGACTAACTGTTTCAAAAATATCGTCAAAAAACCAATCCTAACGAGCACTTTCCACAAATCAACGGTTTTTTGACATTTTCTCCCATAATGTTAGAGTCATTTCGACAAAATTGGGTGTTTCTGGCGTAAAAAGACCTGCAGAATCCAAATCTACAAAAATAAATTCGCTACGACTAACGGTTTAAAAAATATCGTAAAAAGTTCGATTCTGATGTGCATTTTACACAAATCAGCGATTTTTTGACTTTTTCTTCCAATTTGTTAGAGTTATTTGAACAAAATTAGATGTTTCTAACGTAAAATGACCCACTAAATCCAAATCTGCAAGAATTATGCCGCTGTTTCGAAAATATCGTCAAAAAAAACGCATTTTCCCCAAATCAAGAGTTTTTTGACATTTTCTTCTAGTATATTAAAATCATTTTAAGAAAGTTAGGTGTCCCTGACGTAAAATGACCCCCCGAATCCAAATCTTCACGAATTCCACCACTCCAATCAAAAAAAAACACACTTTCTATGCAAAAATACTTTATTCAGTGCAAAACAACCACAACTAAGTCTGTTCATTCTTAACATGCGTTTTAATATGCTGCAACAATCCATCTCTTCGATTAAACGTCGCTGCACACATCATACACGAATGTTCCTTATTAACATCATGAATCCTCATATGCCTAACCAACTTATCCTTCCTTCCAAAACTCTTACTACACTTGACACACTTGAACGGTTTCATCCCAGTATGCGTTGCAAAATGCCGATCCAACTCCCTCTTCCTTATAAAAGTCTTCTTACACACCGAACACGCATGTGGACGCACACCGGAATGAGTCGCATGATGATACCTCATATTCTCCGGATTGGAAAAAGTCTTAGGACAAGAATCACAAGAGTAGCGTTTGCGTTCTTCCCCGAAACTATCTCCAGTGATATGGGCGGGAATCTGAGGCAAATCACGCAACTCCTCCTTTGGGGGCGGTACTTCCCCCAAATCGATCTCCGATTGGTTCTCGCTTTTAATATCGTGCTGAAACGGATCAACACTAATCACCATATTCTCCTCCTCTTTGTCTTGCTCTTGATGGAGAGGGGGGAAATGACGTTTTTCATGTCTGATGAGTTTATCTTTACGTCCGAAACTCAAATGACAATAGTTGCAATTAAACGGTTTTTGACCAGAATGTATAATAGCATGTCGAGTCAAGTCACCTTTGGAGAAAAAAGTTTTCGGACATTTCGGACAAACAAATGGTTTTTGACCAGAATGTATCCTCATATGTTTCGAAAGATTCGTATTTCGCGAAAATGATTTCGAACATACTATACAAGTGTATGGTTTGATCCCTGTATGTACTACAGTGTGTTTCCTCAAATCGGACCTTCGTGCAAAGGTTCGTTCACATTGTGGGCAATTATATGGTTTATCATTTTGATGGACTGATTTCAAATGGGCTGAATATTGCATTCTATCTGCAAAACCCATCTCACAAAGGCTACAAGTGTAGGGCACATTATTATCATGTGCTGTATTTTCATGACCTTCACATTCGAGCTTGTCGGTGAAGGCGTGGTCACAATACCGACACATTGATACGTTTTTACCCCCCTCTTCGACATTTTCCGTATCGCTGATTCGTTCATTTTCGCTCTCGTACGATGATTCGTAATCGAGGGCGGTCGGATCGACTACCATAACAACGTCCTCTTCGTTACCATTGGCTAATTGTTCGAAGTAGGGGAGTTGAGGGGCGGGACCACATTCATTTTCTATTGTTTCATTGGTCATGGCGGCGGTCAACTGACGAAGGGTGGCGTCCGACATGAAACATAATTTGCGAAATTCGAGACAGAATTCGATTTTGTAGAGGCAGCGGTGACAGATGACATTGGGGAGGCCATCGCCATGGCTGATCTACAACAAAAAAATTCGAAATTAAAACACAATATATTTGTTTTTTGTTGGTTTGAAACATACTTTATAGTGCTGAAATTGACTCTATCTAGAAATTGGTGTATTGTTGGTTGTCTACCCACATGGTTTTGTTTTTTGTTGCTTAGCAACATAGTAAACACGTGTATAATGAATGACACAATGTAGAGTTTATTTCAAAATATAAAGGTTGTGTATTGTCAGTTGCCTATTTATTTCTGTAGAATCAAAATTAATATCAAGATCAAAAACAACGAATAATTTTGTTGTTTATTTTTTATTAATTTGAAACATATTTCACTTCCAAAACAAAAAACATCGTCAAAAACATCGTGGCAAAAAAACTTAGATTATGTCAAGTATTAAAAAAAATGGCACTAAAAATCTGTTTTTTACAGA